ATTTTCTAGATACACCCCTGTCAATAAGGTTTTTGACCCATGTGTATTCCTCCCTCTCTGAGAGTTACAAATGGTTTGAAGCCTTGAATACCCATTTTGCATTGAATTTCTAACAGAGAGCCAAGAATCCACATCCAAGAGTTGTTGTGTTTTTGGGTAGCAGAGAAGAAATTGTCCTTGTCAAAGTTCTTTGCCTTAAGCAGCTTGCTGACAAGAAGATTTGGTTTGGTGAGGATCCTCCAAATCTGTTTGGCAATAAGATCTTTATTCATCAAGTGGATGTCCTTGAATCCCAAACCTCTTAATTCCTTTGGCGGAACAAGAAGATTCCAAGCTTTCCAGTGGATGGACTTATTGTTTGAAACCCCCTTACTCCACCAGAAGAAAGCAAATAATTGTGCTAGATTTTGAGTAGAAGCTTTGAGCAGAAAGAAACATGACATGGCATACAAATGAAGTGCTCCTAGAATGGACTTCATTAGCACCTCTTTACCTGCAAAAGAGAGAAACTTGTTTTTCCAATTTAAAACTATGATTTTTACTTTTTTCCCCACATAAGAGAATATTTCATCTTTTGATTTTCCAATCCAGAAGGGAAGGACAAGATACCTAGAGAAGGTTTGAGTATTGATACCCAGAAGTGTTTAGCAAATTTGGTTTTGGATATTTAGAGGATTGTTTTTGCTGGAAAAAAAATAGAGGAATTGTCTAGATTCACTCTTTGGCCAGTGAGATTTCGGTAATTCTGGAGATTATCATGAAGAAGTAAAGCATGATAATTGTCTGCCTGAGAGTAAATGATAGTATCATCAACAAATAGGAGGTGGGTGAGGAGAGGCCACTTTTTACAAATTCTTAAGCCTTTGAGATTTCTCCTTTGTCTTTCTGTTTTAATCAAATGAGAGAGAATTTCAAAGGCCACCCCTACTTAGTTTCTTTGGTGGGAGTTACATAACCACTCGCTGAGCCATTTATATTGAATGGAAATGAGGCTAATAATATGTAGGCCATGATCCCCTTCACAAAAGTCACATGAAAACCCAGTTTGAGCAAGATTTTCCTAATGCTATTCCACTCCACTCTGTCAAAGGCTTTTGTCATGTGTAATATGATTGCCATATAGTACTTATGTCCACTTCTGTGCCTATTCACAAAGTGCATGACCTCTTGAGCAATGATGATATTATCAAGAATTTGCATATCCGTGAATTGCAGTCGGATTCTCCCTAATGCACAGATGAAGACAATTTTTCAATCTTTTGGCAATGAGTTTAGAGATTTTTTTATGGATTACACCACAAAGGCTGATTGGTATATTGTGGAAAACTACCTCTAGGTTAAACATTTTGAGAATAAAAGTTATAAGAGTGTGGTTTAAGCTCTTAAAGATTTGATTAGACTCGAAAAAGCTAAGAACAGAACTGTAGATACTAGATCTAACTAAAACCAGAAATGCTGAAAGAAAAGTGAGGTCATACAATCAAGCCTTGAGCTTTGCTGGAGTTAATGCTGAAAAGTGCTTCCTTTATGTCCTCTACCTCTAACAAAGCCACTAAACTCACTGTTAAGATCATAAGAAATCACTGGTTGAATGATCTGCAAGAGTTGAGTTCCATCCCCTGAACGTTCAGTAGTGAATAATTTGGAATGGAACACCTCAATATAGGAGGCTATTGTTAGTGTGTATAATTAAAGCTTGGCTTTTTGCTTAGTAAACACTATTTTTCTGTTGAATAAGAATCATGTTTATGTAAACTATCTTATGTTATGATGTTTTACACTTGGATATTGTGGTTCATCACTGACAGACAGAAGATCACATATTAGTTACTTATAAAACATAAATAATATTGTTCACAACGTAGATGAAAATTAATGACCCATCGTGAATGGTTATAGTGTTAATCGTACAGTCTATCTTGATTGATTGGTTACACTAGTACACTATGTGTATTGAACGTATTCCAGAGAGGATAAGCTTGTTTTATTCTGATCAAGTAAACAAACTAGACCTTAGTTAATTAATGTGTACTCTTAACCCGTAAGAAATAAACAGGCACGTGCATACAGTAGCTACTACTTTGATTCACTAAAAAATGAGACTCATTCTGCTAAATCAATACTCTGATATGTTTTGGGTAGTGATGTTGTGTCCATGGTGTGTTGTTCGAATATTTACAGTTACCGTGTGCGATAATTTGATGATGTTCCCGAGATGAGCTCAAGAAAGATTATTATGTTAAACCCTGCATGTGGATTAAGTTCTAGTGGTACTAGTCTCGGCACAAGAAGTCAATTAATTATATTATCAGTAATTAAATTAATTGACGAACACTATATATTAAACACGGGGAGATAAATCGAGTAATTATTATCAGAGCCTCAAATGTAATTTGGGAACCAAATGGGGAGATCAGCGATATTTCTTTAGTGGACTGATATATCGTTCAAGTATGAATGTAGTGGGTTTGGCCAACAGTTGGACCCATACTTGGGAAGCTCATATTTGGCACCTCAGGGTGCCTGTTGTAACCTATAAATACACAGCCTCCCTTTGGATTTTAGCATAACACACGCATAGAACTCTACAAACTTAATCGAGAGAGTTTTGTTCCGTCGCCCACCAATATGAGCAAATTTGTGGAAGGTAATACAACAGAAGTCCTGAGGTCACCCAAGGTAACACTGAGACGTCTACCAAGTACTCGTGCACTGAGCCCCACTCGTCCACGCACTGAGCCTTGCTCTTTGACTACCCGCGAAGCACGTGAACGCCAACATCCGATCGTGAGCAAACCCGCATGAGCACAGTCGCAACACGATGCGCGTGATGCCTGTGCAAACAAAGCATGCTGCGATCGTGACCTGCGCACGTAGCGACCGTGACCCGTGCACGCACAGGACCAGTCGAGACGAGTGATACCCGACGACAACGAGCATTCCCCAACAATAGACATCCATGACACAATACATAAAAGATGTGACGATAAGATCTCTCAGAGCCGTTTGTCCGATCACGTAGGCCGTGTAACTCTGTACAAAGCCTACAAAGTCTTAAGCCGTAAATGTTCAATCTTAACTTTAGTCTGTTGTGCTTTAGACTTATTTTTCAGAGCCTAGATCTGTGACTTGCATGATTCAACGTTCGTAATATAACCCTAACAAGTGGTATCAGAGCACTTGGTTTAATTCGTTTTGTGCAAAGTTTGGATCTTTAAGGCTTTATGTGATTTATGCGCATAATTGTGTTCAAGGAGCTACATATATCTGTTAGACTATTTTGCATAACTTGGTTTTTCAGGTGATTAGATATTCTACTGTTATGGCCTTAAATGTATGGTTTTATTTTTGTGCATGTTTTTAAAGCCTCGGGATTTTCGAGGAATTTTGGGTTTTGATTGCTTGTAATAAATTTATTCACGGTGGGGCACCATATAGATTTGTTATTTCCTAGACAAGCATATAAACTCATTCGTGGGTCTATGATTCGTGCAATTTATATTTTGTAAATTATTTGTTGTCTGCACGAACTTGGACAACCACGAAGACTGGCAGACCTCGATGATTGGCAACCGAGACCCGACGATCGTACGGTCGCAGCTGTGCACGGTCGCGCATGTTGCGGTGGCCCGTAAGCATTTGACCAAGGGCAGGCAGCAACTGAGTTGCGGTGTGCACAGGAGACGGGCGCTGAAGGCATTCGGCGACGAGGAAAGCAGCATACATGGGAGTTGCGGGAAACTTGCGAGTTTTTGGCGAGGTGTTGTGCCACGGTAACCCAAGGTGTACGCATGCATCGCCCAGGCATCCCCGAGCGCGTAGATGTTGCAAGAGAAGTTCGCGAACATCCGTTGATGCACATGCATTCGTAGTGTGTTCTTCGTGCGGAGCTGAGTGCTATGTGCGACTCGAGAGACGCTCAAGCTCGCGTGCATGCAGTGATGCACCACCGCCCGCTGCAACAGGGCTCGAAATACGCATGGCGCTATGAGTCGACGACCTGCGCAGCTACCTGACAACGTACAACAGACCCATCGACAGGTCCAGCGACGACGCAAAGATTCCAAGAAGGGGCTATCTTAGAGAAGAAGCTTGCAACCTTTTTAGTTCGATTGATAAGGAATATCTTTCCCAATGGGAAAGGGATTGATTATTTCTTAGTTTTCTAAGGATCCTAAATTAATGGAGTAAACAGTTCGTGTATCTATTTCTGATCGTGATTATAAATCTTTTTCGAGTCATTAAAGCCAGAACCTAGACAAAACGGTCGTGAAAAGGTAGCCTGATTAGAGAAGCAGCCATTCAAGGGTCCGGTCCTTGTCCAAGGCCTCTTTAACAATTGACTTCACGATGTTGTGTGCCTTTGGACATGTGTCCTAGTAAAAATTTCGGTTGAGTCTATTATCATGGTTGGTTTCCTTACATAAGCTAAAAGAGATCAAATCAAGCAGAGTTAGAATCATAAACAAGTGAATGGACTGGGCCATATTGTTTTTTGTCACAAGAAGTACTATATTTTGTAATGTCCTGACGAGAGATTTTTTGTAATGAGAGGATTCCAAAAACAGGACATTCCATATTTATAGAATTTGTAACGGTAGTTGGTGGGGTCTTCGGAGTCGAACTTCTTTGTCCATGGACCATGGCATACATAATTCTTCGAGACATATATGACTTTTGCATGCCTAGTTCTTACCCTTGATCATGAGAATGTTTCTTTTATTAGCATTTAGAAAATTTTGTTCAGAATTGAATGCACTTTCTGCATGCACAAAATCATGGCACACAATAATTACATTGTTGCGAGAATGAAGAGGTTGAAAATTTTCACGAGGCAGTTGAGACTTATCAACTAGTGTTTGTTGATCAAACCTTTATTTTATTCACTTTTTCTTCATTAGTTATATAAATATGACTTCTTAATTTTGATTGAAAAAACCTATTTTGTTCATAGGAAAAGTAATTTAGTAAAAGAAGTTTGTAGTAATGAAGGTAGCATACAAAATTATAAACATAAATTAAGTGAGAAAATTGGTGTAAAGATGACATCTCACCATTGTTGATTGTGTTGTTTCTTAAAATGGTGTTTGAAGGACAATTATAACCGTTTTCACGCAGTAGTCATTGCCTTTATATAAGTCGTGTGCCTTTATATAAATCATGTTGAATTTCCTTTTTAGTTCATGTATTAGACGACATCATTTTTATTTTAAGTACATTTTTTAGGTCTGAGACAATGTTGTTTTTCCTTGTATGTATGGATCAACAATTTAAATACTATACATGAGCATTTTTATTGGTGTGGAATGAAAAATTTATTTTTTTGATATGAAATTCTACATTGTATCTAAAGCTAGTGACGAGGGTTCTGAGTTGTCCTTCAATGGTGGGCAATCGAAACATAGAGGCGTGAGCATCACTAAATGCGAAAGCTGGTACTAGCTCAAATATCCGAGTGGATAACCCTTTTTTCTTAAATGGATCCGATCACTCAGGTATGCATATTGTTTCGCATCCACTCAATGGAACAAACTTTCTAGCTTGGAAACGATCGATGATGATCACTCTTGGTGCAAAAACGAAGATAGGGTTCATAGATGGATAAGAGGTAATGCCGGGAATGAATGTGAATTATGACAAATAGAGAAAGATCGATTGGAAGGTTATCTCATGGATTCTGAACTCATTGTTGAAGGAGATAGTGGATGCTTTCATATATGCAGAATCGTAAAATTATTTATGGGAAGATATTTGCTAATGGTTTGGTGAAAGTAATGGTTCCCTAATCTAACAATGCCAAAAGGATATTGCAAGTTTAAAACGGGGAAATGAATCTGTTATGGTATATTTTAACAAGTTGAAGAAGATGTGGGATGAATTAGGGTACTTGGTACCACAATTGATGACCTGTATATGTGAGGTTGGCAAGGCTGTCATGGAGCAGAATATGCAGACAAAGCTTATGCTATTCTTAATGGGCTTGAATGATAGCGATGACCATGTGAAAAATCAATTGCTATTGATGGATCCCTTGCCAACAGTGAATAAGCGTACTCTATGGTGCTATCTGCAGAAGTACAGCGGTCTACTCACTCAACATCCGGGGACATTGTTTATCCCATTTTTGTTGCTATTCTTCTTTATGTTTTGCGTGTATTTTCCCCCGTTTTGGGTCGTTTCTTAGGTGTTGCCAGTCCATCTAGTCATTTCTCGTGTTATAGTGTTATTTAGTCGTGTTTCGTGTTCTCGTTTTCTTTTCTCCTATTTTCCCTTGCTTTTCGCATTTTTTCGGATTTTGGTGATTTCAGGTTATCCTAGTTACAAAGGTATTCCATGCCCGTTCATGCGACAAACATGCAGAGGTCGGATTTTCAGCCCGGGCAGTACCCGAACAACGTGAGCCGAGCCGAAGAAAAAGCAACATACGGACTCCCAACACCTTAGCGCCGCTAAGGTTAAAAGGCTAGCGGCGCTACCTATTCTTATCGAGGGTTGGGGCGAACAACTAAGGAACCTTAGTGGCGCTAAGGCACCTTAGCGGCGCTAAGGTTTGTTTTGTAACAGCCGCAATTTTTATGGATTTTGAATGGGAGAAGGATAAAAACTTCGAACCTAGGGTGAATGTGGGATATTCCAGACTTTGTAATTTCGTTTTCTTCACTCCAGAACTTATTTTTTTACCTAGTGTTTCATAGGATTTAATCTTGGATTGTGAAAACACCAAGATTAAGCTTTTGGATTTGGATTATTCGTGGTGTTTCGACATTGGATTCATATTTAATCGTAAGCATTTCTTTTCATTTTGTGTATGGATTTGATGGCTTGCTTAATTATGAATTGTTGTGTTGAAATTGCAATGAGTGGCTAAATTCGTAACTAGGGCTAGGGGATAATTGTTCCGGTTCAATTTCATTTGTGTGTATGTTGATTGCTCAATCTATTCGAGTTATGTTGAACCTAGGGTTGGATGATTGATCACCATCTTAATCTATTTAATCGATTTTAGAACCGAAAGGGGAAGAATAGATCGATCTAGGCTCGTTTAGAATATACTTGTTCGGAAACGTATTGTCTATGTGCTAATTGATTCGATAATTGTTCGTTTATGTTTATTCTCTTGTTATGTGAGTTATTGAGAATGGATCTCTAAATGAGTGAGTTTTTTGGGTTCTTTAGCCGAGTGATCGATTGTCGTTTAATGTATTGAGAACCGGAAACGATTTTCCCCGACACCCTAGTCCATTTTATCATTATTTGAATTGTGCTTTGGGTTGTGAAGTCAAAATTGATTGTTTGAGAATCATTAGTTGTTAATCACGTAGTTGATGATCGAAACCAACCATTTGAATTAGAGTGTTTAGGATTATTTTCTCTTTTCATAAGATTGAATAGTCGTACAAATAATCTGGCTGACCTTCCTTGAGAAATGACCCGGTGTTCGAATCTTTCGATTCTACTCCGGTAAAACTTACTACAACAAAATGGCGTCGTTGCCGGGGAGGGTTTAGGACTTATTTTGTGCGCCTATTCATTTTGTTTTCAGTGTTTCTTTTTGTTTTTGTGATTTCTTGTTTTGTGTTTCTTTTCGTTTCATTTTCTTGTTTAGGCTTAGTGTTTTCTTGTTTTGCTTTTCTTTGTCTCCCTCTCTTATCTATCTGGTGCCCGTGATGTTTTTGTTTTTTTTGTTTATGCGTACCAGGAGTGGTTGTGTAATCATCCCGAACAACGAATCCATCCAGAGGGATTAACAAGATATGTTTGCTAACCTTGCCCCTGAATATTCAGACTCAGCCAACCGAGACTCAGATAGCCAAGGAGACATGGCACACAACGGTGATGAGGAAGTGAATAACCCACCTTGTCATCTCCTTCGTGATTTGGCTCAACCAATAATCGGGCCAGTGACTTCATGCATCCGGCTGGGGCCAGCAGCCCGGAATTACAAGCTAAAAACGATCCACTACAACCAGCTACCTTCATTCGACCACTAACCCAATGAGGACCCACTCCATTTCATCCGGGAGTTCTATAATGTCTTTCAGACTTTTCGTCTCCACAATCTAAACGAGGACCAGCTGAAGATAAGATGTTTCCCCGAGACACTCAAAGACCAGGCCAAGGCTTGGTTTATGACACTTACTCCCGACTCCCTCACCACTTGGGAGCAAGTGTACACCAAGTTCATTAGGAAATACTACTCCCACCAGAAGACGCAGGAGTTTCGGTCCCAAATCGTTTTCTTTGCCTAGCAACCGAACGAGCCACTTCATGAGGCGTGGGAGCGCTTCAAAGACCTTCAGAGACAGTGCCCACACCATAACTTCCCACATGCCTTGTTAATGAACAGATTCTATGACTCTCTTCACCAGAATCTCTAGTAATGGTGGACAATGCAGCCGGTGGAGATGTTTTGGCAAAGACGGCCGAGAAGATGAATGATATTTTTTAGGCGATGAGTTCTAACTCGTCTCAAAAGAGCAGTAGAGGGAAGAGAGCAGTGGTAAATGAAGTATCGTTTGGGCGAGACATGATGGCCCGTCAGATAGCCGAGGTCACGGAGCAGATACGGCTACTGAATGCAAGGGGAGGCCAGCCAATGCAGACTATGACCGTAGAGGCGTGTGGAGCATGTGGAGTCCAAGGGCACAGATCTGAGGTGTGCCCCTCGGCATTTGATCAGGATTTTGGTGAACAATATGAAGATGTCAATACTCTTCAAGGCTACCAGAACCGGCCTTCCAACGACCCATACTCAAAGACATACAAGCCGGGGTGGAGAAATCACCCAAATCTCTTGTGGTCCAACAACAACAACACCCAACAGTCTCCTCGACAGAATTTCATGCAGCAACAACCCCGACCACCTTCATTCCCCAACAGCAGATGAGGGCGAACTATGCTCAACAGCAGTAACAACAGCAGCAAAGGGGTTAGATGGGTAGGATGCAAGCACAAGGAGTCGGCTCCAGTTCATCAAATCAAGACGACAAACTGGACAAGATTCTCCAGTTTATGGCCAACAGTGAGCAAAGGGGCTTGAACACCGATGCATCCATCAAACGCCTGGAAACACAGTTGGGCTAGCTCGCCACCAGAGTTGGGAACATGGAGGCCGACTCAGACAAGGGGAAGTTTCCTAGCCAACCTAAGGAAGCCAAAGCCATAACGGTGTTGAGAAGCGGGAAGAAGGTAGACAATCACGTGGAAATGCCCAAACTTGATGACCCTAAACCGACCGACCAACCCAAGGGAACAGAAGACAGCCCTAAGAAGAGTGCAGAAGCTGATTCAAAGAAGCAGATAGATGGCTCAAAGTTACACAGGTCATCAAACCCTTTCATACCAAGTATACCTTTCCCTCGCCGACTTCGAGACGAGAAACAGGAACAACAATTCCGAGACCTATACAACATGCTTTTAAAGGTCAACGTCAACCTGCCACTCCTAGACGTGATCAAGAACATGCCTTCCTAACGTGAAGTTTTTCAAATACTTAGTGACCAAGAAAAGAAAATTCGGAGATGGAGAGAAAGTGGTGGTCTACGAGGCTGCAAGTGCTATGCAGCATGATCTTCCCAAGAAGGAACGTGACCCCGGGGGCTTTCTGATTCAGATAGCCCTCGGAAACAAAAAGGAGGCTTCGGGGATGCTTGACCTCGGAGCAGGAATCAATCTCATGCCGTTCTCCATCTTTCAACGGCTCGGCCTAGGAGACCTGAGACCGACCCGTATGTGCCTACAGCTTGCAGACCGTCCAACTCGATACCCAAAAGGGGTAGTGGAAGATGTCCTTGTCCGTGTTGGGAGACTCATTGTCCCTGTAGACTTTGTCGTGCTGGATGTGGGAGACGTACAGGAGAATGGGAAGGACCACACCATCCTTCTCGGCAGACCATTCATGGCCACCACCAACACCCTCATCAATGTCAAGAATGGGACATTGAATATGATTGTCTTGGGCGAGTCCGTTTCTATTTCAGTCCGACAAGCTACATCTGCATCCTCAGTGAACTTTGTGGAGGAGTGCGCCTTCGTTGATATAACCGATCCGTTTGTGGAAGAGATGACCGTGCGAGACTTGGAAGAGAGGTCAATACCCAACCTCGAAGATGACGAAGAGCCGACTGTTCAACTTATGGAAGCCGGAGAACCCAGATCAATAGCCCCACCTATGTTAGAATTGAAGGAGCTGCCCAGACACCTCAAGTACGTGTTCCTTGATGACGAGAAGCAAAAGCCGGTCATCATCTTTGCCGAGCTTTCCCGTGATGAGAAGAAGGAACTGATTGATGTGCTCAAGAAGAATCAGAAGGCGATTGGGTGGAGCCTCGGAGACATAAAGGGCATCAGCCCTTCCACATGCATGCACCGGATCATCCTAGAAGAAAGTGCCAAGCCATTTCGGGATAGTCAGCGGCGGCTAAACCCGAATATGATGGAAGTTGTAAAGACGGAAGTGCTCAAGCTCTATTCAGAAGGGCTCATTTATCCAGTGGCAGACAGCAAGTGGGTCAGCCCGATCCATGTAGTGCCGAAGAAAGGGGGTATCACGGTGGTAGAGAATGAGAAGAAGGAGATGGTTCCCACCCAAATCACTACCAGATGGAGAATGTGTATAGATTATCGGCGCCTCAACGCCGTGACAAAAAAAGATCACTTCCCGTTTCCCTTCATCGATCAGATTCTCGACCGTCTCTCGGGCCATCAGTTCTACTGTTTTCTATATGGACTCTCCGGCTACTACCAAGTAGCAATAGCGCCCGAAGACCAGCCCAAGACGACCTTCACGTGCCCATTCAGCACCTTTGCCTTCAGACGGATGCCATTCGGCCTATGCAATGCACCCGGGACTTTCCAAAGGTGCATGTTCTCTATTTTCTTCAATATACTTGAGGATTGCCTACAGGTATTTATGGATAACTTCTCTATTTTTGGCACTTCATTTTCTGATTGTCTCCATAATTTATCTCGTGTGCTTGAAAGATGTATTGAATCTAATTTGACCTTGAGTTGGGAGAAGAGTCGTTTTATGGTGACTAGTGGAGTTGTGTTAGGCCATGTGATGTCTAATCGTGGTATTGAGGTTGATAAGGCAAAGATTGATGTGATTGAAAAATTACCCCCTCCTGTGAATGTGAAAGGAGTTATAAGTTTTTTGGGTCATGCTGGTTTCTATAGAAGGTTTATAAAGGATTTCTCGAAAATTAACCAGCCTTTGTGTCACTTGCTTGCCAATGGTGTGCCATTTGTGTTTGATAATGCATGTGTAGATGCCTTTGATAAGTTGAAAAATAAGCTTGTGACTGCACCCATTGTTATTGCTCCTGATTGGTCTTTGCCTTTTGAGATTATGTGTGATGCATCGAACCTTGCTGTTGGAGCCGTCTTAGGTCAACGAGTTGATAAGTTACTTCATGTAATTTATTATGCTAGTTTGACCTTAAACGGTGCCCAACTGAACTATTCCACCACCGAAAAAGAGTTTTTAGCCGTGATATTTTCTCTTGAAAAGTTTAGATCTAAAGTGATTGTTCATTCTGATCATGCGGCTCTTAGGTATCTCTTGAGTAAGACTCAATCGAAACCTAGACTCATTCGGTGGATTTTATTGCTGCAAGAGTTTGATGTGGAAACTCGGGAAAGGAAAGGTTATGAAAATATTGTTGTTGATCACTTGTCTCGCATTGTTCCTTCTGATCATTCACTCACTTTGCATGAGCATGTTGATATAAATGATAGTTTTCCCTATGAGCATGTGAGTGAAGTGACTAGTGTTCCTTGTTGTAGCAAATTATTTTTATTTTACCGAGCACCAAATCGAATGATTCGTTTCCCGGGTCGATCTCTCGAGGAAGGCTGTTCGGAATTTAGAAATGGTATTGATAACACATAAAAGCAAAATAAATCCTAAACATACTAATCAAAAGATTTGGTTGGAAAATTATCAACTAAGATATAACAAAGGATGATAATCTACCTAAAAATATGAACTATAAAAAGATAGACGAGCTAGGGTATCGGGAATAATCGTTTTTGGTTCTACACACATTTAACGACAATCAATAACTCGGTTAAAAGGCTCGACTAATTAACTCATTTAGCGGTTTAACCTCAATACGTCTCCGAACATGCTGATAAACATAAATGAGCAAATTAACGAAACAATTAACACATAGACAATACGTCTCCGGATATGCCTACTCTAAACGAGCCAAATTCCACCAATTTCTCCCCTCTCGGTTTTGAAATCGATTATCTCTACGACTCCTCCCCTTTCGGTTCTAAAAGTCGCAATTCGTAGAATTAACAAATTCTTAACTCAACAAATAAATATTCACTCACAAATCAAAGTGTCACTCTTTGATTATATCAATAAGTTAACCTAAGTGTCACTCTTAGGTTATAACCATTTATCAAGTATGATTTTATCAATTCATAATTAAAACAACTCGTCAAGATTGAGCTATTGTCATGCACGTAAACGAGAACGAACCGAAATGATTATCCCTTAACCCTAGCTAAAGGATTAGCTACTCATATCAAATTCATCACAACAAAATACTTCTCCTAAATTAACCATTAAGCATGAATTAATTCAAAGAGAAAATAAACTTACATATCAATCTTCAAGTGTTGAATTCAAATACAAGTTTCATCCAAAAGACAAAATAAAGAAAATACAAGAAGAATGAGAGGGAGAAATGGAAAAATGGAGAAGGAAAAAATGGGGGAGAACCCCCTTGGTTCAAAGCATCCCAAGGGTCATGAATGGTGAAGATTGATTATGTTGGGAAGTTGGAATGGACCATTAAACATCCTCTCCCCCCAAGGTGAAGAATTCCTCCCTAATGAAGACATTGGTCCGGTTTTTGTGGCCACTTTTCCCCCTTTTCCGAGCTTGGAAAGCTTCTAAATAAAAACTGTGAAAAGTGCTCTCCGCGGAGGCCAAAATCTGCACTGCACCATCTTACGGTTTCTGCTCGTTCGGGTTCGTTTTAACTCGGAATTGATTTCCGTTTTTTCCTACACGTCGCTAACGAACCCCTCTATTCAATGATGCTTGAATGGACAAATTATTCGTTAAATACAATTCTCTCAAAGCTTATGACCAGCACACCAAAGACGTGCTTCGTGCGACTTCGCGCGACTTCGCATATTGGGTTCGTTCGGACTCGTACGAACTCGAAATCAAGTTCCGCTTTTTCCTATATATCGCCAACTAATGCATCTATCCAACCATGATTTCCCGGACCATTTTCGAGCTAAATCAATTCATCACGGGGCTTCCGACCTGCACACTAAAAACAAGAAGGTAAACGTAGAAAAACGACAAAATACACGAAAAACACATAAAAAGCCAAAATAGAATAAAACACAAAACAAACTATTAAATGAACCACAAACTAACAAAAAGACCTAAAACGGGGGAAAATAAACGATAAAATAGTATAGAAAAACATAACAAAAATGGTCACAACATTCCTTGGTATGCAGACATAGTGAATTATTTGTCGAATGGAGTCTTGTTGTCTAACCTCTCTTCCCAAGAGAGAAAGCGTTTTGTGTTGATGTGCAGAAGTTATTTTTGGGACGACCCATTCCTTTTCAAGGTGGGAAAAGATGAGATCCTTCGGAGGTGTGTGCCTGAAGAGGAACAACTGGATGTCCTTGCTTTTTGCCACGAGCTTCAGTGTGGGGGACATTTTGGAGGTCGAAAGACCGCCCTTAAGGTCCTCCAATTAGGTTTATTCTGGCCGACCCTTTTTAAAGATGCTTATATTTTTTGCAAATCTTGTGACCGTTGTCAAAGAATTGAGAATATTGGCCCAAGGAACGAGATGCCTCTTGTAAATAACGTTCATGTGGAAATGTTTTATGTTTGGGGCATTGATTTAATGGGACCATTTCCCAAATCTTTTGGTTTTGAGTACATTCTTCTTGCCGTAGATTACGTGTCCAAGTGGGTTGAGGCTATCCCCACAAGGACATGTGATGCTAAAATGGTCATCAAGTTTTTGCAGGGTCATGTGTTGAGCAGGTTCGGATTTCCACGAGTTATTGTGAGTGATGGGGGCAAACATTTTTGCAACCGGATATTCGAGAAACTGATGAAGAAATACAACATTTCACATAAGGTAGCCACCCCATATCATCCACAGACTTCAGGCCAGGTAGAAACGAGCACAAGCAGATCAAGACCATTCTTGAGAAGACGGTGAACTTGTCTAGGAAGGATTGGTCCAGTCGTCTTGATGATGCACTATGGGCCCAACGCACAACTTACAAGGGAGTCTTGGGGATGAGTCCATTCTGGCTCGTCTACGGAAAGGCATGCCACCTTCCGGTCGAGATCGAGCACAAGGCTTTTTGGGCAATGAAGCGGATGAATCTTGATCTTGATGCAGCCAGACGTGAGCGGATGTGGCAACTATCAGAACTTGAGGAGTTGAGGAACGAGGCTTACGAGAACTCCGAAATTTACAAGGACAAGGTCAAAAAGCTTCACGACTCAACCATTGTCCGAAAGAACCTTATTCCCGGTATGAAAGTCCTCCTATTCAACTCCCGACTTTGTCTCTTTCCGGGAAAGCTCAAATCAAGATGGAGCGGTCCATACCTTGTTGATGAAGTATTAACTCTTGGAGCTGTTCGACTCCGAAATCCGGCAAATGATGACTTGTTCGTGATCAATGGACAGCGGGTGAAGCCGTACTTTGAAGGAGAATTCGGGAAGCAACATGTCGAGACCATCAGTCTCGGCACACTCTGTATCCTTGATTCAGATTGATGCCGAGCTCCCGGCAATAAACCGAGCTTATTTCTGTACTTTTTGTATATATATATATATATATATATATA